CCAAAACCCCAAAACCCCAAAACCCCAAAACCCCTACTCAGGGCTACAAAATTGTGCACAGATCTATACAATAATTAATAACTATGAATCTTATATTGCTTTCCATACTTGTACTTGCAGCTTTATGAAACTCTTCTGAATCAGACCCTGATAAGATTCTTGTCTGATGCAAGTCTAATAATGAAGTAGATTACACATGATGTGATATTTCCAAGAGTGCAGATTTTAAAACTTCATATATGAGAGAGCAATCAGTAAGCACTCTGAAGTGAGCAATAGGTATAGTAGTTTACTTTCAACATTACTTTGTCTTATCTCTCTGTTAGACAAAGACATTCTCAAGCTTTCATTACTCACAAAATAATCCTCTATTTCAAATTTATCTCCATTCTCAACACACTCCCAATATTCAGGACATCAGCTAAATTCTCTTTAGAGAGAAATTAAATTATAGTTTATGAATCCAATTTAATGCTGCTTATTGCTGCCAGAAAGCTAAACCTTAATGAATAGAAAATTAGGATCTTTTAACAATGCCCAGCCTACAAAGGTATATTCGTGAGAACTCCAAACCGGTTTTGGGCCACAACTTTTATATTGCCAATACTGTTTTATCGTAATGCTAAAGTTAGAAGAGGTGGAGGGATGCACAAAATATGGCATAAAATGGGGAATCAAACTCCTTTTACAATTGGCTTTGATTTAGGTTAATTCACACACTTATGGGTCGATCATGTTATAATGTTTTGTATAGTGTCAAGTCCACCCAATGAGGCCAGATATATAGACACAGAAGGACATATCATTGGAAGAGGAGAAGAGTAAGAGCTTATGTTTCTATTACAAACCATATTGCTTCTTGTGTGCTAGAAACCATGTAGTCCATTATTTTACCCTCAGTTTGGGACCACCAGATTGTAAAGCTTACCTCTGGAGCTTACTTTTCTGCTAGGTTGGAATTACCAAACGGTTTTTTAGATTATAGAAATACTATTTTTGTCTGAATACTAAATGTGAAACCAATATTGAATTCTTACCTGGCTGATATAGAGCTGCTCTTGAGGAGCTTTGAGGTTTCTTTCCAGACAATGAACCCGAGCTAAAAGTTTATGCCTCAATGCATATTCTCATAATAATTTTTATCCCCATTATTTTGACTGTTATGGGAGCATGCACTGTAGTTTGCCTTGTAGGCCCTAGGAAGCTGTTCAGGATGAACCTCGAGTTTGCAGGTATTCGGAAAAGGCAAGACAATAGTCAGTCTAGTTCAAGGATGACCAGAAACCATTTAGATGAGTCCTCTTCAGAAGAAGAGAAGTAAGTTTCTGGGTCATAACATTTAGGCAACTCCCCAGCAACAGAGACAGCCTTTTATAGACACTTCATACCCAATTTAAACCCTAATCTAATCTCTCAACGTCCAACACCCAAAAAGGGGTTTTGGGGTTTTGGGGTTTTGGGGTTTTGGGG